CCGAAACAATTTATAACTAGCAATTTTTACATTCCAGTCATGCGAATAAACCTGCCAGGTTTCAGTCATGCCAATTATATCACATTTCTCATAATCCAGCAAGAATTCCCAATTCCTCTTGCTTTTAATTATGTACTCACAAGGTGCCTCTCCCTGGTCCCTCTCTCTGGACAGCCGCCTACGGTGAATCACATATGCTTATTATCACACGGTGGCGGGAGAGAAGGGTGATGCAGTGCCACTCTGGATCTGTGGAATTTTAGGGCAAGTTCTTGTCTTTATATGTTACAGATTTATTCATTTCTGCAGGATACACCTCTCTTTCTCTAGCTGCTTCTCAAACGTGCATTTAATGTCCGTATTTATGGCCCATTTTGATGCATCCTTACACACTGTATAAGTTCCACTCTACATTTTACTCCTTAAAGAGTGCTAAGGAATATGTGGTACAGAACACACAAAGAGCTACAGATTCCTTGCCCTCCAAATATAATTCCAAAAATACAAACCAAGCCTATGCATACCCATTGCTGATCTCTCTGGCTTCTGTGGAGCATGGTGAGCAACATGGAAAGGCTTGTCATTTATTTAATGGGACAGTACTCTTAAAAGGCACCTAGGTAGCTGCTTTTCCCTCTGAATGTGGATGCTATTACTGAGATGATCTGTTCATTGACACTTAAGACAAGATTTGAGTTCATGTTTTTGTCTGTTAAAGTCAAAGCAAACACGCTATTGAGCAAAATCAGCTAACTTGTTATTGCTTCCCAACTCTCAAACTCTTCTACCTGTTAGGATAAGGTATGCCACCTTGTCTACTTCATATGTTAATGTTTTTCATGGCATGTGTGTTCTTGAGTCACGGAATCTACCAGCTAGTTTAACACTGCTACTATTAGCACATCGCTGGTCAGATGTCTGGTGAGGTGCTCAGTACCAACTCAAGCACAGACCTAGACTGCAGGTGTGAAATAAGATATGCGCCTAAGGTCATACTCAGAAAGAAATTAAATGATAGAGAGCTCGGCTCTGAGATGCCTGGCCATAGCCAAGGAACCCACATCCTGGGAGGAGGCACCAAGTGCCCTGTGCAGCGTGGGAGTGAGAACAGGACTCATGACCAGCACGAGTGTGGAGCTCATAGGGTATGCTTCAGCTTCATCTGCTCTGGAGACTGGGTGCATTGCTCTTACAGAAGTTACCTCCACCCAGGTGGGACCCAAAGCATTGAACTGACTCTGAAAGGGAGAGCCTTTCTTTTTGGTAGACTCTTTTTGGTAGACTGGGATTCAGCATACTTTTGGATCAGAAATTGTGCTAAATAATTACAGGACTCACCCACCAATGAAATATATATGCTCATGTCCTCCTTTTCCCAGAGGGGATTCACAATTACATTTCTCAGGTGCTAAATGCTTTTCAGATTCTTTAGCTGCCCTAGACATGCTGGATAAAAATAAACTCTAGATTCGCAAATTATTTCACAAATAATCACAGCATTCAATCTCTGTTAGAGATGTCGGTGAAAACTAGAAACCTGCAACAAGATGAAGGTCTGCTTCGCTAGTCTCTGCAGAGAGTGCATGGCATGCTTTTTGCACCTCTGCTTCTGGAATCTAAATGGACATTTCAGATAAGCAGTGAGAAGACACCCAAAAATTGTTTCAGATTGTGGCCTAAGTGTCATTTTAAGGTGTGACAGAGTCCCAGCCCCTCCAGCCAGCTGGGAGACCTGCCTGTCCTTCTTGACCTGCCCTTCTTTACAGTGTCTGTCTTCTGGGAACTGGTCCTGTTGTGTCTGTACCACAAGATCTGCCGTGTTTCAGCTGCACCAGAGCAGAAAGCAGAAGGTTTTGACAGTGCCAAGACTGTGGGGAAAGAGAAATCAAAAGCCTGGTGGCTAGATGAAGAACATGTCTCATAGCTGGGAATGTTAGGAGTCCCTGGAGAGTTTTCACAGCATTACAACAGGGAGCATTACTGGCATTCATGTGTTCCTGGTGGGATTCATGTTGCTTAGCTTCAGGCATCAACAGTGAGGAATCAGGGACAAGTCAGGAGCTGTAGGAATGGTGCTGACCATAGGCTGCGGCCATATGTTCTGCTGACAGAGGCATGAGGCTATGGGGTGGCTACTGAAACGACTTTGCGTGGAGGAAGGCCATTGTTGCTGTCATTTTCAGTATGCTGTTGGTAAAGCTTTAAGAAGGATGTTATTGAAAGCATGGAGTGCATTCAAGCTAGGGATTTTGACTAATGTGATGCTCTACTGTCTGCGTGCTTAGTGGTGTTTTCTGGCTGTTTCTGGCATCCTAGTGTTTGTTAAGAACACGGTGACTGCATGACTTGTGATACCTGCAGCACTGCAGTCAGTAAGTGTGCTGTGGACGGTGTGATGAGCCTATGGAATGGATTACTCACAGATAAATTGAGTGTTGTGTGTGTACATATAAGCGTGATCACAGTGCTGGCTGGCGCCTCGCTGCCCTGGAGCTCAGGCAAAATGGTCACCAGTCAGGCTGCAAAAGGCCATGACAATGTACTGACAGTCTGGCATTGCAAACCCCTAAGTCTGAATGAAGACCTTTCATAGTTATTTTATGTTGACACTCTTAGGGACAAATTTAGACCTGTGTCCATTACACAGTTCCCATCCTTCCCAGAAAAGCTACGGTAAATCCTGAACGAGGCAGCTGTCTGTCTAAGCCAACATGTACCTGTACATGGCTAGATTCTTTCCAAAGGCTGGTCACTCCTGGTCTGCTAACTGAAGAGTGCTTTTCACCAAGGTACTGCTTAAAATAAGAGGAAACACACATGTGGCTGCTATGGTGGTATGGGGAGGGGCGCAACAACCCTCTCGCTCCTGCTTTCACCATAACTTTCTAAAGCTGGCTTCCAGCTATCTCCTGAAATCACCCACTACAGCACAGCTTTGTTTACCCAGTACAGAATAGATCACTGTATTTCTCTTCTCCCACAGATAACTCAGTTTTCTGAGTGGGCTAGAGTCACACAGTTACAAGTTATCTCACACATAAATCTTGGCTTGGAAAGCTTTCAGTATCTGCCAGAAATTTGGACATGCATGATTTTCCCAGTCCCAGCTAAGACGCTCGAGAAGTTAAAGAGTCTTAAGCTGCTCACTCAGGGGGCTGTGGCCTAAGTTTATTTCCAAATCAGTAAGACAAATGATCTATTTTCTATATGTTTTTCTAACATCAAGAGGGTTACTCTGGTGCACTCGTTTCGGCATGGAGCTGTTTATTGAGAGTCCCATGGTTGGAGTTCATGAACTTTCGTTTTCATACATTAAATTGAGTTTTAATGACCAATTAATTCTTGAAGCACTATCCTCAAAAATACCAGTGAGCATACACAGCACCTTGGGATGAAATGGACTGTGAGCTGCTCCCCAAGTGTGCCCCGATTTATAGCATGCACTTACAGAGCACTTCTACCTCAGAGACACAACCTGTAGGATGATTAACCATTCCTTTCTCCCAGCAATGGTGAAGGACCAACTCCACAGTCTAATCCTTGGGCAATGGCAGGACAGAAAGAAAAGAGCCCAGAAAGGAGGACCCAGTATCCATGGGCTATCATCATCTCATACTGTGGCACATTTGTAAACTTTATTTTCCAGTCACATAATCTAGAAAAAAGCTCTTTCAGAAGCAGAGCTTGGATGTTAGCTCTATCAGACAGCTCTGGGAGTAGGGACTGTCAGTTTGCATCTGTTGAGACTTAAATCAGTCCCATGGCTGCTACCTGCCACCCACCCTCCAGTGTTTTATTTCTTGGTAACGCCAGGCTATAGCAGAGGGAATGAATGCACTGATAAGCTGGAGAGATGTCTTCTTGAGTGGTTCGCAGCAAGTAAATGGCTGAGCAGGGAACAGAGCTTTCCTGTGCCCAGTCGTGCCCTTTAACTGCCGTTTCTCTACTCTAGTTCAATAAACATACAATCCAGCCACCGGGAAGGGTTTGTGGGTGGTCATTTACTTAAGGGATACCAGAAAAGAAGCAGTCCAGGCTACAGCCTGATAAAAACCGTGACCTTTGTGCTTTCCCTATCATTCAGACTACTGCCCTAGGGGTTATTTTGGGGGCAATTACAGTTAGATGTCAGAACCTCCTTAACAACTACGAGCTGCTGTCTTTTGCGTGCTCCATGGAGCAGCTCCCTGAAGGGGAGCACTGACCGGTCTCTGGCTGCAGTGCCCGTGAGGGTAGCACATAGAGCTTACCGGAGGTTCAGCTGGCTTCAGAGCACAGACCCTGCATCAGCCAGCAGGTAAACAAGCAAATCCTTGCTCTCGCTGGAAACAGGTTGCTTTTCAACAAAGAACTGTTAAAATCCTGCCTCTCTCTGCAGGGCGAATCTGCTTTACGATACAGCACAGAACAGCTTGCCTGTGTGTTTATTACACTGAGCCAAACACAAAGCAACACAAGCTGGAAGGAAGTTGTTTTATACTTACCAGCAGCATTGATATTTTCCTCACAGGAGTACCAGATCCCAGTGTGGAAATACCTGAAAAGGAAGCGGTCATCTCCTGTCTCCCAGCTGTAATGAACCACATTCTGGTTTGTCTCATTTGCAGTCTCATTCCCGCTGTAGTTGAGGCAGTTTGTCTTCTTCTCTTTCCCACAGCTGGGCTTGGGGACCCTCTGTGTGCCTTCACACCAGTGGGTCGTGATAAAAGCTGTTGTAGAGAAGAGGAGAGCCATCAGATTCAGACTCACTGCTAGCAGGGCTCTGCATCTTCGATTTGTCTTCATGGTAAATCCGCCCTCCCTCCCCCTCCTGCTGAGAGAAGAAGTCAAAGGGGTTTGTTTTATTTTGGGGAGGGGGGGGGAGCTCAAAGCCTCTCACGACTCAGAATCCAGTTTTCCAGGCATCAAAACTCTCAGCTTCTTCCAATCTGTTGTTGTAGCAGCGAAGGAAACGCTGCGGCCAGACTCCCATTCTTCTCTTCACTAGAAATCCTGCCTTTGTATGTTAAAGGAGCAGCTGCAGGCACGGGAGTGCGGCCGTCCTCTTGTAGTCGGTGTGCTTCGGCGCGCTGATGGGATCAGAGAGGGTCTGTCTGACGGAGAGCACCAAGAGCAAGTGAACATCTGCTCGGCTACCACACATGATCCCACGGGGCTCCGCAGCCGCCTCCGCCGGGAGACACCTGCGGGCTGTGGGACTCGCTGTCCTCTGCTCCCGGAGGATGAGGCCGGAGAAGCTCGGTGGGAGGCAGGTGTCAGGGACAGCTCTGCCCGCTGCCACCGTCCTCGGCAGACCTCGGGGACCACTGCAGCGCGCTGACCGCTGACTTGGACTGGGAGGAGGCACCACATCTCAGTCCCAGAAAGAATCATTGTTTGGAGCTGTGAAATACATTTTTTAGATACCAGAGGACAGAGAGGAGGAGGGATGAAGTGGCACTTCAGCTTTTCTGCTCTGAGCTAGTAAGTAGTAAATCAGGGGTTTGATTCTGCCATCAGCATTTACTGGTGTAAATCTCTGTCTTCGGTGGCCTGCTCTGGAAGTCAGCAAAGCCCCAGAGGAATTTAGATTTGAAGATGTGTAATGAATAAAACCTGCGTCTTTCACAATACCAAGTGGAGCCCCTTTCTCAAGCTTTCGTCTCCAGACACAGCCCACGCAGATGTTCAGTTTGAAGTGGGTCTGTGGGACGCTTTGTAGGTCCTGGTTTGTGCAGACGGAGAGAACTAATTAGAGCAAACCCTGGCCTTTACTAGCCAGGTGGCAATGCTGTGAGAGGAGGGAGCACTGCGTAATATCCCATTTCCAAAGAGAAGTATATTGTCCTCTCTTGTTGGTTGGCTCACTCGCAGAGTTTCTGTCCTCTTTCCACATTGCTCAGAACTACCTGCTGAATATGGAGTGTTGTGGGGAGACCAGGGCATCTGACATTGGTCGTGGTACAATCTCTAAGACCTTGTGTCCAAGCATTGAGGTTGGCCACATTTGTCACACAACAGTTCCGTGTCCTTACTAGGTGAATGCCATCTTCTGTGGTGAAGAAGTTGCACATACCTCCTGGGCTTTGGACTGAGTGATATTTCCTTCCAGCCTTGTCTGGACTCCCTGCAAGGGCCATGGGAATGCTTGTGGCCTCTCGGAGCAGTCCAGCAGTGGGTTTCCAGCAAGCCCCGAAATAACCGTGCAGCCGCACAGGCTCATACTAATATATGGGCCAACGCTCTCATCTCACACCCTGTGCTCTGTTAAGTCAGCACATGAACTCTACATGCAAAGCTCATCCTATGTCTTACTGCCCGCAGACATGAAACATGGTGGTAGTTTCTCCAGCTCCTTGAAGAAAGCCAGGAAGGACCAGGTGGAGTTCATCCTTAGCGAGCCACCACACAAGAATTCAGGGACCCCTTCCTGCCTCCCTGATGTCCCCCTCACGGGTAAGCATAGGACTCTCTATTATGCCTCTCGTTTGTGCCTGTCCTGCACGTCTGGTTCTGACTGTTTATGAGATTTTTCACTATACAGATTTATTTAGCTTTAGCTATATTGTTTTATAAAAAAACTAGAAAGTTACTAGAAAATCCTGCTCTGTGAGGACAATTGTGATGGCAGCTTTGCAGGGCTACTGAAATAGCTTTGTACTGCAGATACTTCCCTACCTAAGTGTCCTTCATCTTGCCAATCCTGCCTGTACATGAGGACTGCTACCTCTCCGGCACCAGATTTTTCCACTGACGTGTGCTAGCGGAGTGCCTCTGTGCACAGTCTTCCTCATCCTGTTGGAATTGCACCACCCCTCTCCACGTTCTGGTCCTTTTAGCATTTCATCTTGCAGCCAGGTAATTAGCATTATTTCGTTGGTTTTAATTGCATGCAAGAAATACAGATGATAGCTATTTAGAGGACCACAGGATTATTACTTCAATTATTTTTATGTTGCAGGACATTCCGCTTAGAAATGTGTTTGTACATTCCTGTGTTTCTCAGGCTTCCCTGCCTGCTTAGAGGCATAAACAGTGCAATTTAAACGATGACAGAATGCCTTCACAACAAAGCCAGCACCCTTCTTCAGGATTATCTTTCAAGTGGCTGTCAGTATCTGAATCATCACACTTCCACGTGTGAATACAGGCCTTTACGGGTCTTTTCTCACAAATCTTCTCTATCTACTGCTCTGTGCCTTGTGTTTTCTGGTCCCAGCACCAACTCCTGCACACTTTGTTTCTCCCTGCGCCCATCTCCCTGAGGGATAGGCATCCAAGAGTTTGGTTATCTGTGATAATTTTGTCCTAAATACTTTTGAGATTTTGTTTTTACTCCTAATCCTAACAGATATTTCAATTTCTGTTCCTCCTTATCTTCTTTATTCTTGTTTTTTGGGCTGACAGGGCTGTTGAGAACAGAGATGGTGGCAGCATATATCTATATTAAAAAAAAATCAAAGTAAAGCAGAAATTTGTTTTCTTTTCTGATACAGAGCTTTTAGAATCTTAAGCATTTAAAAATGTTCAGCACAAAGTAAAGTGTACTCAAAGCCAGGGAATTTTTTTAACATGAATTGTGTTATTTTTCCTAACAGAAGTCAGTTTTTTTTCCAATTATTAGACTCCTCTGGCTGTATATGTTGGGATTACTTGAAAAGAAGGAAACTAGTCTGTGCTATACTCATGCTGTAATGCCACAATAATTTCTTTTTATATAATCTCTGTTTATCAGATTTGTTGTGTATAAAAATGGAAAGATCATACATATGTTGCAGAAGGCAGTTCAGATGCCAGGATTAAGTTGTATTTGTGTGGTATTATCTTTAATAGTAAAGCAGGAGGGTCCGAATGCTATAGAGAAGTAGGTTTCATATTTTGGCTACAAGAACCTTTAAAATCCTTTTTGCAGCAATAGCTTTTCTCTGATGTTGAGAAAAACCACCTTCATGAGTTACAGCTAAACCCCTTTTCCTTTCCGGTTTCTTATAGGATCAGTGTAAATTGTTTTTGACTCAGTATTTACTTGAGTACAAAAGGAATTTGACCCAGAGGATTTAAAATAATGATAGAATAATGATAGCATTTGCAAAATAACCCTTTCAGTCAGGCTGTGTTTTTCACTAGTTGGAAACAGAAGCAACACTCACTAAAAGGAGAGGAAGCCCTACTTCTGGGTCCTCTGGTGATGATGGGGCATGGTGGGCTTAGTCTGGTTATTTGTTTGATACCAGCAGTGTCAACTGCATGGAATGATATGCTGGTTTTAAATCAGCATTTAAGAAACCCTACAGATTTTCTTTAAATTCTCGTTTCCTACGGCCCTCCTGGGCTTCTTCATGTGTTTGTATCGTCTTTTTCAGCTGTCATTGGCCTGGGCTTCCTGGCTCCTCCTGCCATCTTGGGTTGGGCCCATCCTGGCAGCTCGTCTTTGCTTTTCCTTTGCACCACAGAGCCAGAGAATCCACTTGTTCAATTCATTTGTCTTGTGAATGGTTCAAAATCTCCTCTTCTAGTCAGAATTCTCCTCCTTTGACATAGAGATCATGTTCTCTTACTGTGGCAAATACAAATTATTGGTAAAGAAGCATTCTTGCACATCAAAGCCTTAATGGCAGCTTGTGAGCCTGTCAATAATTGTAGACTCCTTGGCCTGCCAAAATAGTAGCCACAATAAACATGGCAACGCCAAGAAACATCAAAGGGCCCATTACATGAACATGCTCTGTTAGAACCCAGACATCAGATTTCCACATTCGTATAAAGTTATCTGTTGTCTTATCCCACTGTGACTGTGGGAGGTGCGTAACCCACGACCTACAGATAAATTCGTTTGTACCACTGCTATCTTCAAAAACATTGCTAGGGTTACACTGATGCTATGATAGTTGATCAAAGTCTTTTGAAATCATATAGATCTCAGAAACATTGCAGCCTAGCCCTTGTGGTAAAGCAACCAAATTTGAGAGGGATTTAATGAAAATTTGACTTCTTCTGTAGAATAAAGTCTGAAATAGAATTTTGACTTCTCTCAGATATCACCTTGCCCTTCCTTTTTTTTTTAAGAAATTTTTCACTTGTATTCTTAATATATTTATAGGGACAGGAGCTAGAATGTTTAAATGATTATTGTTTTCAGTTTTGCCTGGCAAAGGAGTAAACTATGTTCATTTCGTGCCATTTATGTGAAGAATAATGCTGCTAATTTGTATGCCCATGTATTTTATTCCCATAATTAGGATTCATCCATATGCCCAGGCATTGCAAGTGGTGTGACTTGGCAAACAGCTTTTCATTCAAAAAGGAGTGGCCAGGCAGATTTGTTTGAGCAAAGTCTGTATCCCAGGGTTCACGTTTCTGTATATTTTCTGCAGAAATTGTACCCTGTACAAAAAACATTCGGGAAAGTAGACTTTACCAGAGCAGAGCAGCAGAGGCTGCTTATGTACAGGGATGGCTTTTTGATGGTGCTGGTATGACTTGCAGAGAACGAGCATACATTCTGTCGCTGAAAGCGTATTCCAAGCCAATGGATCAAGAGCCCCTGGGCTGTGCTCATGATCCCAAGCAGTGCTGCTGGCTTGGGGACAAATGGAAGCAGGGTTGTGATCCTGAAGGCGAGTGCAAATTTGGGCCACCACTGGAAGGCAGAACAGTCAGGTTGGCTCTAGAAGCTGGAATTTACAAAATACTGCATTCAGTCTACATTGAAACAGAAGCTACAGAACACAGAAAATTTATACATACAGCAAGTAGATTTTAAACATACTGGTGCCAAATCTCAGTTTGAGCAGAAGTCTTTCCCC